TGCGATTAATCGCGATTAATCGTTTGACAGCACTAAATTTTATATCTAATATGCTATTTATTATTCATTATTTTGATATATCTGATAATTGTTTTTAAATATTTAAGAGAGAGAGTGTGTGTGTGTGTGTGTGTGTGTGCGTGCGTGCATTCATTTCATATTTTAATACATTGTAATATTATAACTTAATTATTAAAAAAATCCATTTAATATAATAATACATAGTTTTTACATATTTAAAGCAATATATGGAGCATATATTTTCTGTTCATATATATTTTTTACACAGTTAAATAGATAATTACAATTTCTAATTAATAATTATATTATTATAATACATACAGTATGTTAAAAAATATGTTATTACGTTTACACCACCAAAAAAAGCAGTGATATTTGTCTTAACAGTTTTTGACTTTGTTTCCAGAGGACTGTCAGTTGTACCTTTTGTCCTGGGCTGATGTGGGCATTGACGTGTTTGAGGACCGGCTTCAGGGTGCTGTCGTACCTCACGCTCAGATTCTGGATCTGAATCTCACCCCGCTGAGGCCAACCCTCAGGAACCTGAGATGCCGCTGAGAGAGAAACATTCAACCAAAGAGACAAGAGGCGTAAGTTATACAGAGATGGACAGAAACTGAGAAAATAGGAAATGAAGGAGACAGATGCTGAGTGTACAAGTCCAGTGAAAATGAGACTCGAAGTGAAGGGCGAAGCGGCTGTAGTCAGTAAACGTGGCTTGTATATCCAATGCGACATGATACTCACACAGCAGACCCTCGTAGTTTTCAGTTTCAGTCTTCAGCAGAGCTTTTATCTTCTTCACAGCTCCCAGCTGCACCTCCATGTCTGCCAGATTACGCACCATCCAGTTCAGATAGTTGGACACCTGAGAGATATAATATACAGAAGTTATCCAACAATACTGATGATCAACGTGTGGAAAGTATTTATATGTATGTGTGTTCTTACCATGAGGGCATACGTGAGTCCCAGCCCCACCAGCCCCGTGGACAGATGATTGTACAGAGAGTTTGTGATGGACGCCACAGCTGCTATTAGGACAATACAGGCCCCAATGTACTCCTGCAGGTGATACAACAGTATCACAGTTACTGCTGAGCCTATTTTAGGCAGCATTTGCATCAAACAAAGAAGATATTTATTTTTAACATCACAGAAACTGGAACAAACAGTAACGACACAACGACTTGTTTGGCTTATAAACGCACCATTCGAACCTCCAGCCAGCGATTGGCCGCTGTGAGGAAGAGAGAGGCCATG